ATTGAAAGACACACACAGACTGAAAGTATAGGAATGGAAAAGTTATTTCATGAAAATGGAAACAAACAAAAAAAGCTGGGGTAGCAATACTTATACCAGGCAAAATAGACTTTAAAACAAAGGCTATAACAAGAGACAAAGAAGGACCCAGTAATCCCACTTCTGGGTATTTATTGGAAGAAACCCAAAACGATACTTGGAGGGGATGTGTGCATCCATATGTTCATTGAAGCATTGTTTACAATGGCCAGGTGTGGAGGCAGCCTGGGTGCCCATTAATAGAAGAATGGATAAAGAGGACGTGGTACATATATATTATACAGTGGAATATTGCTTGACCTGGGAAGGGAATGGGTTCTTGCCACCTGCAGAAGCATGGACAGACATGGAGGCTATTGTGCTGAGTGGAGTATGTCAGACAGAGAAAGACAGATGCAATGTGATTTTGCTTATATGTGGAATCTAAAGAACAAAACTAAAAACAAAAAGAAAAACCAAAAACAGACTCATAGATACAGAGAATATTTTGATGGTTGCCAGATGGAAGGAAAGTTGGTGTGGTGGGTCAAAAGGGGGAATGGATTAAGAAGTACAAATTGGTAGTTACAAATAATCATGGGGATGTAAGGTACAGCATAAGGAATATAGTCAATGATATTGTAATAACTATGTATGGTGTCAGGTGGGTACTAGATTTATCAGGCTGATAGATGGGAGAGGGGTTGGGGGGCACAGTGAAAAAGGTAAAGGGAATAAGAAATCCAATTTGTAGTTCCAAAATAATCATGGGGACATAAAGTAAAGCATAGAGAATATAGTCAATAATATGGTAATAATTATGTATAGTGGTAGGTGGGTACTAGACTAGTTAGGGGATCACTTCTTGAGTTATATAAATTATATAAATGTCTAATCTAACCATATGTCTAACCATACACCTGAAATTAATATAAAATCATAATGAATGTCAACTGTAACTGAAAAAATTAAAAAAGGGGGGAGGCGAAGGGCAATAAGGGGTCCAAATTTCCAGGTATAAAACAAATGAGTTGTGTAGATGTAACGTACAACACAGGGAATATAGTCAATAATATTGTGATTGCATGGTATGGTGTCAGATGGTTGGTGGACTTACCATGGTGATCACTTCTTTAGGTATATAAATGTTGAATAACTATGGTGTACACCTGAAACTAACTAACATAATATTATATGCTAACTATATATTTAATATAACTATTTAAAAAATAGGCCATGAAGCAAGACTAAGTCAGGGATAGCTCTCTGCAATGTGTTATGCTTTGAAAAACTACATGGGAGTTAGCTGGTAGTCGAGGCAGCAAGCTAAGCGTTTGCCAAGGCACAGAATATCCTTATGCCCACAGAAGGCTGACTGTGGTGGGGTAGAGAGCATTAGGGAAGCCTGAGGTGGGAATTAAAGAGCACAGGGACAGTAAGGGAGTCAGACTGGTGATTAAAGCAGACACTGGATCAAAAAGGACCTACATTCCATGCTAGACATCTTTCATTTAATCCTCTGGGGAAAGGAAAACTAGGAGCAGATGTGAAATGGCTTTACTTGTGTTTTAGAAAGATTATCATCACAGTGGAATGGATACTAGTGGAGGGGCTAATCTGGAGGCAAGGAGAGCTGTAACTGTACATCACGGTGAACAAAATGAGGCCCAGAACTAATGTAATTGCAGCAACGATGGGGAGACGAGGGCATGTTCAAGATGTGCTGACAAACTGAGTATAGGTTAAAGTTTAAAGCGTGCGAATCACTGAGGGTCAAAAAGTAAAATAAAATAAAATGCCTCTTTTTGAGAAACTTACAGTTTAGTTTAAGCAAAACTTCAAGATAAATGATGTCATGAAGATTCTTGTGATTTTGTGTTTTAAAATTAAGTCCTTGAATATTTAATACCCGTATATAAACTAGGACCACTGGACACTTCATTAAAGAAACACTCCAACTGGATATTAAAATGTCTCACAGTTTTCTACATTCACCATGATATAGAGACCCAAAAAACCCACAGAAAACAAAATGGAAAACTCCTCAAATTCAACATAGATGGTGGAAATGGAAATTACAGCCTGTTTGCATCATATTTCTTGAAGTATTTTTGTAGGGATGGTAAGAGTCAAGACTGGAGTAGACTCAGGGTAATAAAACACAGCAAATGGATACAGGATATAAATTTTTGTGAGCTGTAAGATACAAAACATAAAAAATATATATCATAAGTGCTTCATTTACAGGATTTTTTTTTAAGGTGAAGGGAAAGGTTCAATTCTTCCTTCCCTCCTCTTAACAAATCTTTATCAATTCTATGTGCCCAAAATTAGGCTAGATGACAGAGTTATCAGGCAGTCTTTGACCTCATAGATGTTACAGTAAGTCAAGGAAGATTGACATTTAGCCCAATGAAAGAAATATTGCATCTGTGAAGGAGAGAGATGCACAGAATACTTTAATGAGAATAGAATCCCATCATGAGCAACTCCAACTAGTTCCTGAGGTCTAAAAAACTGATGCTGAATAATAGTTACTAACAGTTAATTAAGTCTTTGCCTGATTATTCTAGGAAAGAGTATTCTTGGCCAAGATAAAGTATTAAATAAAAAGAAGTTCTAGACTTCATCTGAATAATAATAAAAATTACTTCATGAGACCAATTGAAATAACTGTATTAAGTGATTGGCATGAAATACCAAAGGATAGTTCAATTGTTTTCAGGTTTTGAAAAGTTGACATGTGTCATGATACCATGGAAGTAAGAAAATAATTACTATTTATGTCATACTGTGAAGCAATATTCATGGGATTGTCCTGAAAATTATCTGGCAAACTGTAAGAGTTATATGTAATGTCCTCGCTTTTATAATCCCTGAACCAATTTGGTTCAAAAGACCTGGAATATATTAGTGCCATATGCTATCATAAGCATTTACTTTGACCCTCACTTAGAAAAAGGAGTTTTTATGTCTAATTTAGACTATTTAGGTTACTATGTTAACCTGCATTTAAAGCACGTTGGAAGTGAATATCCTCTCATTCTCTGCAATATTAAGCAGTAAATTGCTTTTGGTAATATTGCATGTGCATCCATTCAAATAAACAGGGCAATTTCTGCAAATATTAACTGTTTTTTTTGTTTTGTTTTATTTTTTTAAATCTAATCACCTGAGAAAATCATGTTACAGTCCTCTGAAAGTTCAACAAGGAGCAGCATTCATGCATATTTAAATCTCCCATGACTACACATGAGAAAAACATTACTGAGGTTTTCTTTGTTCCAAACACATTAGAAGGCCCCCAGGGGGAGGGTGGCTTCTTTACTCTGACATCATTGCCGTGCTTTGTTCTATCACTGTATGATAAATGAGAGTTCACCCCACGCTCTGTGACTATGTGCTCAGTGGAGGTATGTCAGGCTCCAGTTTGACAAGTAGCCTTTAGTTGAGCACTTAAGTCTCAAGTAAACTTTAAAAATAAAGTCTTTTAAAAGGGCACAGCTTGTATAGAAACAACATCATTGAATCACTAATACTCTGTCTCTCTCTCTCTTTCTTTCACACACATATACACACAGCACATACATAAGACAAAGTGACTAGCTCACTTTCTTTTCTTCTTATGCTTCCTATAAGATGAAAGCACATTAGTAAGGATAGCAAATCAGCTATTATATATTACCGTATTTCCCCATGTATAAGAC